TCTGGGAAGTTAAAAAGTCAGTTGCCTTACTCAGTGTCCTGCTGGTGAGACCATACTAGGAATTTCCACCTCGGGTTTGGACCCTCTGTTTCAAGAGCATCATAGAAACCAGGAAGGATTCCCAGCGGCATGATCTGGAAGGGAGAATGTCAGAAATGCCATCTGAATGTCTTCATTAGGTTGAAAACTCAGGACTCGGAGGCAGAAACCTCCATCACCCAGAATGAGCATCAGAGAAAGTTCATGAAAGTGCAGTCCCAGAAGGGAAAAGTCAAAGACACCGAGTTTCTTTAATTCTTAAATCAACTGATCAGAGAGCTACACAGTTGAGTGATTTTAAAAAAAAACTTTAAAATAGCCAATATTAACTGGGTATAATTAACTATGCAGCTGATTTGACAACCAGAAATATGTTCAAATCACATTTAAATTTTTTTAAATATGTATTTATTGTTGCTGTTAAATGTCATCAAGTCATTCTAGCTCATAGTGACCCTTGATAGGGTTTCTGAGGCTGTAAATCTTTATGGAAGCTGATAGCTTCTTCTTTCTCCTTTGAAGAGGTTGGCAGGCTTGATCTGCGGATCCTGTGCTTATTAGAAGTCCAGTGTTTATCCTACAAGGCCACAGTCATCAGGTTGGTTCCAGCTGCTTAGTTTCTGACACTGTCAATCTCTGGGAGCAGAAAGCCCCATCTGTTTTCCCCCCGTAGACCTGATGGTAATCTCAAACTGCTGACCTTGTGGTTAGCAGTCCAGTGCATACCATACAGAGCCACCACACTCTTTATATGTATGTATATAAGCCAAATAGTAAGCAGCTAAGTAGGAAAATGGAGTCCTGGTGTGGCACTGTGAGTTAAGGCACCAGACTGCAAAGCCGTTTGAACTGCAAGGCCGAGACACTGAGCCGGGTGCTCTGTCTGCCACATCTCACTGAACCTTCTCAACTGCCCACAAGTGAAAGATGCTGGGACCTGAGAAGCTAGCAACCTGCATGGCCACAGTTAGTAACTGAGCCGACACACTCCAGACACCTCCTACTGCTGAGAGGACACGCCTAGACCACCTGTTCCAACCCCTTCACCTTATAGATAAGGGAACTCAGTCCCAGAAAGGGTCTTGCAGGTATTGTTTAGGGTTCTGGAGATGCCCCAGTGATCAAGACAGGTAACACCAGTTATCTCCTGGAGTTTAATTCTAGTTAGGTAAAAAAGGTGGAACACAAACAATACACAAGGGAATACATAAGTAGGAAAATTGCAGGGTGTGTTAAGAGCAATAGAGAAAATAAAACCAGTGGATAGAGAATCTCTGGGGTGAGGCGTTTTTAGGAAAGGGAAGCCTGGGGGAAGCCACCCTGAGAAGGGACAGATGCTGAAATTTGAGTGCGGGGATTTGCAGAAGAGGAAAAGCCTGGAAGTTCAAGGTAATTGAAGGACCCAAAAGGTTACGGAAGAGAGAGTCTCATAAATGAGCCATTTCATGCTCCCCAGTACAAGTGCAAATGGCCAAGGCTGATTGCAGCGTAGTGGACACCAGCCAGAATAGGAGGGGCTGGCAGTGGTTAACTGGGTACGAGATAGTGCTGGCCTCCTTGAACAACACTAGGATCTGAAGAGAGTTTCTCTGCCACGTGTTTTGAGTAATGCTGGCTGGACATGATGTATTTCTGAGGGAAGTTGTAAATGAAAAAACTTGAGCCTTTCCCGTATGTCCCCAGAACCAAAAAGAAGGAGCTGAAACACCATTCAGATATGATCATGTACCACTCACTGCCTTCCAGGTCCATGGCGGTTCAGCATCTCCCAGGTGCCTGAGAGTGACCTCACTCCAATAAATCCATAAAGAGCCCCTTGGCCATCCATCCACCTTAGATGGCCCAGCTACACCTCCAGCTTAGGCGCTAGACCTGGTCCCAACAACTTGTGGTGGTTTTCAGAAAGTACTTAATGGGGAGAGCAGAGAAAGAGGGGCTTATTTTTGATTAGGGAACACTGGGCCTCTGGTACAGGTGGTGGTTAATTTTAGAAATGGATAGTGATGCTGTTTGAATAACATAATATGTCATTGAATTATATATGTAAAAAATGTTGAAATGGCAAATGTTTTGTTACATGTACAGACCACAGTACTTTTTTTAAAAAAAGTTTTTATTGTGAGTTGGATGATAGTTTACATGGGAGAACATCACTTTGTATTCAATCTATCGTATTTTGTTTAATTGCAATGATGACAATCCCCTCCATGAATCAACATTGAACAGCATTTGCTTCCATTCCTTGTGGTTTTTTTTTGTTTGTTTGTTTGTTTTTGCTGTACACGAAAGCACTCAGGAATATACAACCTTTAAACAACCAAAGAGCACACCCCACAAGCCCGCTCCCCCACTGTCAGCACACAACCCCTCTCCCTCCCTGAGTCCAGGGTCCCCAGCCCCTCCATCTCTCCACATCATCGTCTCTGCCTCCATTTCTGGAGTCACTGCTTCTCTAGATAGGGTCCTGCACTCTACTCTTCTCCCTTGATGGTCCCAGGGTCCTCCACTCCTGGACTGTAAGATCAACCACTCCCCTCTTTTTGTTACAAAACGTCTACCTTTACATTTCCAACCCTCACAGTCAGTCCTGATAGTAATTATTCACTACTGAACCACACATGTCTTTCTTATCCCTAGCTCTTTTCCAGGTTGGAAACCACTCAATGGAGATTCTCTCTTCCCCCGTACCATCTGAAACTAGGCTACCTCTTGAAAGCTTGTAAGCCAGTCACTTCGTGCCTTTGTAGTCCCCCCATTTGGGATAGCCAATGTCTAAGTTGCCCATCCCTGTCAATCCTGTGTACCGAGGGAGTGGGAATGATCCTCGCTGTAAAGATTCATTGCCTCTTTTGAGCTACTACATCCATAAGTATAGGTCAAGTTCATCAAACTGTAGTAGTGGATTACTCTTTTTTTCCTCTTCTTTCTTCCTCTAGTTGAGTTCTGATTATCCAGCCATTGAAGCCAGGTCAAATGGGTACTATCTGCAAGTATGAGTGTTCCTGTGCATCTCCCTTCACTTCATATCGGCTGGACACTTCACTCTCTGCTCTAGTCCTCTGTGGCCATGTCCCTGTCCCTGGACCCAGGAGTCCCCAGGTCACGCCATACTGCTGACCAAGCAGGTCTCAATCCAGGTGGATGAGCATCTGTTGAACGTGGTCAGACTTAGCTCACAACTTCATTGCTGTTTCCCCCCCACTTCCCCTTATCGGTAGACCACGGTATAGACCACAATATTTTTTAAAAGCACTTATGCCCTCAAAGTTCAAAGATGAGTGAAGTAGCAGAGATGGAATGGGAGGTTCATCTGGCCACACACACGTACACATACATACACACATTGCTTGTGATCTTGGGCAAGTCTCTGGACCACTCTTTGTCAGGCTACAAAAGGAGAGTGTTCTCTTAGGGCATTTCTCAGTATAATGTGATAAGAGAAGATGAGTCCATGTCTTCTATGTGGGATTTGCCCCCAAGGAGGGTTTTTCCAAAGACTCAGCCGGGGCTCTGATGATACTTCTGGAGGAGGTGATTTGCGAAAAGGCCCACAGATGAATGAAGGTAATGGGCTCCCCTGGGGCTGCGTTCCTTTGGATGTGTAAGCTCCAGGGGTTGGAGTAAAAAAGCAGTTTCATTACTTTGCAGCCACAATCAGAATGTTAATATCACCAATGAAATTCTTTTGTGCAATTCAGCTAATTTGAGAAAAGAAATTTTGTTTAATGCTGAGCTAGTCACAAACGCTGCTGTATAATGGAAGGTGTGAAAGGAAAGAGTAATGGGATGGATGTCAGGGTCAGAACTGCCCTTACACTGGGTCACCTGGCCACTCAGTCCCATAGGGCTCAGAAGCCACCAGAACATAGGGGCGTGTCCAGCCAGAGCTTACCAACCCCTAATTCTCCACCATGCCCTGAATTCCCAACCCAAACAGCAGTGGCTTCTTCCTGGGCCTGGGGATCCTCTTCACTATTCTGCCCCCTTTGAGGTTGAGCTGCACCTCTGGGGTACCCAAGACATTGCTGATGCTGGGGTAGGAGGCGTGGAGGAGTTTGATTGGCTCTAGGATGGTATGAGGTGGGACAGGAACAAGTTGGGGTCAGACACAGTGCAACTCTGAATCCCCCAATGGCTACGTCCCACTCTAAGCTCTGAGGATCCCAAACATTCTGAATTCAAGTCTAGTCTTCCAGGTCACTTGCTGTGTTGTATGCCACTGATACGGTTCTGACTTATAACGACCAAATGTGACAAACTAGAACTGTCCCATATGGTCGTCTTTGTGGAAGAAGATTGTTGGTCTTTCTTTTGTGGAGACACTGGGTGGGTTTGAACCACCAACTCTTCTGTTCGTAGCTAAGTGTTTAACCTTTTGTGCCGCCAGGGCTCCTAGGAAGGTGTATTTGACATGATGGGAGGATAGAACGTATTTTTTATTGAACAGTTTGTTGGCTTGATCTATAACTTGTAACTATTTTCACATATGGCGTTTGGGCTTCCATTTGTCCTCTAGTGTCAGGCCCTGTACCTGTCGGGGAAGACCCATATTATTCCCTCTCCCGAGCCTTCATGGACTGTGGACCCTTGTGACCCTTGTAGCTGTGTGACCCTTATTGTTGTTGTTAAGTGCCGTCGAGTCAGTTCCAACTCATAGTGACCCTATGTAGGGTTTCCAAGGAGCGGCTGGTGGGTTTGAAGTAACACCCTTGTAGTTAGCTGTCCAGTGCTTATCCTACAGTGCCACAACAGGACTCCCTGTATGATCCTAGGCAAGTCAGACTTTCATAATCAATTTTTTCATCTGTAAAACGCGAACAGTAGTATCCGCCTTTTGAGGGTTGTCGTGAGGATTACATGGGGAAAGTAGACTCTGGCAAGTGTCAGCTCTCCTCAGCATCATGTGCCTGATGTCTCCATCCACAGTAACCAGGAGTTTCCCTGACCCCTTGTTTTTCCAGACTCCACAGCAGTATGAGAGAGAGTACAACAGTAAACGGTCAGGTGTGGGACCCAGCAAGTTCCACGGGTACGCCTACGACGGTATCTGGGTCATCGCCAAGACTCTGCAGAGGGCCATGGAGACGCTGCACGCCAGCAGCCGGCACCAGCGGATCCAGGACTTCAACTATACGGACCACACGCTGGGCAGAATCATCCTCAATGCCATGAATGAGACCAACTTCTTCGGGGTCACGGTCAGTCCCAGCCTCCGGGCTCTGATTTCCTTAGTACCCCTTGGGATTTTCCCAGGAGACAAGACCTGGACTACACACTCTCAGATGTGCAGCCCATTCTTTTGGGTTTTTTGAAACAAACTTGTAAGTTGTAGGGTTTAGGAGCTGTCGGGCACATTGGGAAAATGCTTCCCTGTAATTCATGAATAATAAAGGGCACAGTGGACTGACTGCAAGGCACGCAGGGCAGGTAGAATGAACCAAGCATGTGATGAGCTGGACAAGCAGGAGCTCTGGACCCAGACTCCAGTTCAAATCCCAGCTCTTCCTTCTTTGAGCCACCTTTTTTCCATTCATTAAATAGTGACAATTAATACCTGCCTCCCTACTGCAAGGTAATTATAAATGTAAGCTATTTTAGGATAAAATTGGTAATATTTGTTGGGTATTCTGATCTGGCACTGTGGGCTAATGCGCTGGACTGCAAAGTTGGTTTAAACTGCAAGGTTGGTACTTCAAGCTCACCAGCCGCTCCTTGGAAACCCTATATAGGGTTACTATGGCTTGGAACCAAATTAACGACTCTCAGTATTTGGTGAGCAAGCTACTTGTCTGGAAATGGGGATAATAATGCATGTCTTGCAGGGGAGTTGAGGAAGTTAGCAGTAATGACAGAGAATATTTCTTGATGTGCTAGATATTGTGGTAAGCACTTCGTGCACATGGTAGGCACTCAGTAAATGCCATCTACTGTTCACGTTAACAATGATCTTACATCCTGATGCCATCTGCAGAAAGTAGGTACTGTGCTGCTGTTATTGTCACTAAATGTAAGGAGTCTGGAACCCAATAGATGTTAGTCCTATAGCTAACCTGACTGCCCAAGGTCTTAACTGCTGCCATTCACTGCAGTTTTGGTAAGGAGCTAAATGGTGGTAATGGTGGTAGTGGTTTTGTGCCACCAAGTTGGTTTTGACTCATAGTGACCCTGTATGGGGTTTCCGAGGCTGTAAATCTTAACGGGAGCAGAAGGCTTCATCTTTCTCCTGAGGAGTGACTGGTAGATTTGAACTGCTGACCTTGCAGTTAGCAGACCAGCTCATAATCCACTACACTACTAGGGCTCCTTGGAACTGAATGATAGTCATTGTTTTTATTTCTCATGATAACTCTGTTCCCAGAAAATATGGACATTTTGCCTAAAGAGTAGATTGGATCAGCTGCCATGCTGCCCTGTGCTCTCTTTTGAACAGTCAGACATATAGTCAATGTGTCTTGGAGGTACCAAGAGGAGTGGATGAGCTGACGAGCACGTTACCTAAATGTTTGCATTTGTATGTGTGTGCATGCAGCCTTGCATTGTTGGTCTGTTGGGCAATGGGGTGGACACTGAAGTGAGTAAGATGGACTCAGTGCCCTGGAGCACATGGCTGACGTTAAGTGTGAGACCTGGACACAAATCATGACAAAAGGCCTAACGCACTCAGCACCATGCTCATTACACTGTTTACGTTGGCCAATCACAGAGGAGTGGAGAAACAAATGTGGTATATCCATAAAGTGTTGTTGTTGTTGTTAAGTGCTGTCGACTCAATTCCAACTCATAGACATTCTGTGTAGAGCAGCTGGGGAGTTTGAACTACAGTCCAGTGCTGATCCTATAGCACCACACCAGGAGTCCATCCATATCATAGAATATATTATTTGACCATAAAGAGAAATGCAGTTCTGATACATACTATGATATGGATGAACCTTGAACACGTTATGCTGAATGAAATAAGGCTGATACAAAAGGACAGATACTGTATGGGTTCACTGATAAGAAGTGTCTAGAATAGACAAATGTATAGGGACAAAGGCAGATTAGAGGATGCTAAGACCTGGGAGAGGTGGGAGAAATGGGAGTTACTGCTCAGGAAGGACTGAGTTTCTATTGCAAATAGTGGTGATGGCCGCCCAACATAGTGACTATAGTTAATGTCACTGAATTGTACACTTTGAATGGTTCAAATGGCAAATATTTCTGTATTTCACCAAAATTAAAAACTGCTGAGAGTCATGAGGGAAATTGTCTGAGCCTGGAGGAATTTCTGAGACTTTGGTGAGAAAGTCAGAGAAGGCTTCTTAGAAGAGGTAGCATTTGAGGGGCAGCTTGAATGTTGGGCAGGAGTTAGTGATGTAAAAGAGAGCTGTAAGTCTGCTCAGAGGGAGTCTGGTTAGCAGGGCACCTTAGCTGAACCTCGTGACTGTGAGTGGGGACAATGTAACTTGACTGTAATATTGCAATGGTAGATGATGAGGCTGAGAAAGTTAAGTTGGAGCCAGATTCTAGAGGGGCAAACTAAGAAGACTGGCTGGTATCTTATAAGCCTGTGGTCCTCAAACATGGCCCTCTGACTGGAAGCATCACTTACCTGAGAGCTTGTTAGAAATATACATTGTTGAGAGAGGCCACAGTGGAGGCTGAGTCAGGCACACCATGTCATCCTTCTACAGAAAGGCCTGAAAAACCAAGTGAAACAGAGACAGAAGACAATCCTTGACCTCTGTGCATCAAATGAAATGATAAAGAACTAGATCAATGACTGATTGGAAGAAGAAATTAACTGAAAACAGCAAATTAGAAGAGATGGAGCTGAGGGGCCCCACCAGTCAGCCTGGTGTACAGTGTTGGTCATCTTGAGACAAAGACCTGAGCAATCCTGAGTGAAGAGCATAGAAGGCAATTTCATGGGATTCCCAGTGGACCATAGAGTAACTGTGTAGACATACCGAGAGTGAATAAGGTCCGGATTACTGGCTGCAGTTAGTGGAAGAGTCCAGGCGCCCTTGCCTAGTGATCAAAGGAACATGTTCCCCTTTCCCACCTTCCTTGTAATTAGTGGCACAAATAGCCCCAAGCACTGGGGTTAAAGGTTTGAGCCACCACCTTACCCCCACCTCCAACCAACCCTGACCACCACCCTCTCCCTGCCAGACAGCCACTTCAGCAAAGTGAACCACTGCTCAGCTGACCCAACCCAAATGAGTGACAGCAGGCTGTCCTGGCACAGCACTGACCACTAGCCTGAGCCCTCCTGCCCACTGACCCCGCCAAATGGTAAGGGCCTGCTTCTGTGGGTGTGGTGCTAGTCACTCACCCTACCCTCTCTCGCCTGCCAACCCAACCAGGCTTTTTCCTCCTTTCTTCCACTCAACAAGAAGTGGAGGTGTCATAACTACATACAACCCACCCATCACTCACCCCTCAACCAGCAGTGGGTGACAACCTCAGCCCACACCTCACATGGACCAGTGAGAAGCAGCAGTAACATGACCCCATGTGCACCTGGCCACTGCTCCCTCCCAATGCTCACCCCTCCCCACCCAACCCCCACCTGACAAGGGGTGGCAAGTTGCACGTGTATCAGCCTACCACTCACACTGCCCCCCTGCATGCAAGAGATCACACCAGTGCAACTGTGTGCCTACCCACCCTTCCTCCATCCAGCGTCCATGTTCCCACTAGCTCGTCACACCCATTGCCCCATCCATTCAGTGAGTGCCCACCACCACCACTGCTGCGCCCCTGGATCTCCAGGCTGATTCCTACAAAGCTGAGTTCAGACATGCTTACACCTTCCACCCTTCCTCAACAATTCTGATGTCAACTATCCTCCCCACCCCACACACAGCACTTGCTACTTCTATGCTGGGTTCAATCATCCGTTGCACTGGCCACACAGAACTCAGAGACAATCCTCACAAATTTTTGCAGGAAGGGGTTATTAAGGAAGCTACCAGGTTACAATTCAGGATCAGAAATCTTCAGGGTGCAGTTCTTTGGTGAAGATAGCCTCTTCCCAGTGACGCCTACAGGCAAGTCTCTCTGTAGCCTTTGGCCCCATCATTGCCCTGCTCAGACAACATTACAAAGCTATTTTAGGGCTGCTGATAAATGCCCAAAGGGCACTCCACTCTGTTATAAGCCTCCACCCAAAGGCACTGTGCTCTAGTTGTGTGGGTCAGCAAACCTAGGTCCCAATTAAGTGTCTGGAGGCACCCCGATCCTCTGTCACACCCAGTGCCCCATCCACTCAGTGAGTGCCCATCCACTCAATGAGTGCTTCATGGACTAGGAAGTCCACCTCTCCACTCTGGCTGCCATTGGCTCTGTTCCTGCCCTTCCTCCACCTCTCCTCTGGTGTCACAGCTCTGCCTCCTGAATCAAGGAGGTTCTGCACAAAGGGATTTCAGCTTCCAAAGGACACACTCGGCTCAAGGTTCTTCTTTCTGGAGGGTAGTGAGATGCCCCATTCCTGCTTCTGAAATGGCTCATCGGAACCCACATTAGAGTTCCAAGTTTTTACAATCACAGTTGTTGTTGTTGTTAGGTGCCATTGAGTCGGTACCAACTCATAGTGACCCTATACACAGCAGAACAAAACACTGCCCGATCCTGGGCCAACCTCATTATTGTTGCAACGCTTGAGTCCATCGATACTGCTATTTGGCCAATCCATCTCATTGGGGGTCTTCCTCTTTTTCTCTGACCCTCCACCTTACCAAACATGATATCCTTCTCCAGTGACTGGTCCCTCCTGATAATATGTCCATTCTTCTTGGATCAACTATCAACACTCAGGGAAACAGCAGTCAAGAAATCAAACAACATATGTATTGCATTGGGCAAGTCTGCTGCACAATCACAATTAGTCCTGTTAATAATAACTCCTAACTGAACCATATAATCCAATCAGAATCTTCTCCTACCTTTTCCCATGAAGAAATCTCATTTGGGAGTTACAAAGATAATGGCTAGGAGAGACATATTAAATAACTCACTGACTGCCACAGACACTACCTGCCCAGCCTCCACCCCCTTAGCTTCTCCACGGAAACAGCGAACAGAGACCCGTGCTCACACACCCAGCCACTACCCCACCCACCTGGAAACACCTTAGTACTGCCAAACTAGTGACCAGAGCAGCATGCCCACCCTGCCCACCCAGATACATTAAAAACAAAACAAAAACAAA